GAGGCCGCAGCTCAGAACTGTCAGCATCTAACCCAACTCTACCTCGACTTCGCCGGAGACCCGAGCCCCTTGTTATTCCGCACCACTCTGCCCGACGAGGACCGGTTCAGCTGGAACACACTTCGCCCTCTGCTCAAACTGCCGAAACTGACCGAGTTCGAACTGCATTGGGACTCGCCGCTGGCTATCACGCAGAACGACCTCGAGGACCTCGCAGTCAGCCTCCCCTCCCTCGAACTTCTCGTGCTCAACCCCGAACCCGTACCAACCCCGCAACCCCCAAGCCTGACCCTCCGCGCGCTCATCCCCTTCGCGCGACACTGCCCAAAGATGCGCGAGCTGAGCCTCTACATCGACGCCTCCTCCACCGACCTCGAAGACGCCTCCCGCGAGTTACACAGCACGCTCCCGCCCGTCCAGTTCCACGCCCTCCGCACGCTCTCCTTCGGGCTCTCGCGCATCGCCGCCTCGGAGCCCGTCGCGCTCTTCCTGAGCGAGCTCTGCCCGCTCGGGTGCACGGTCAGCGCGGGCGTGAGCTGGCCGCAGGGCCTCGCGGCGATGGAGGCGCAGACGCCCGAGGACGCGGCCGTGCTCGTCGGCATGTGGGCGCGCGCGGAGGAGTGGTACCCGAGGTGGGCGGAGGTGGACCGGGTGCTGCCGTTGCTGACGAGGGCGAGGATGGAGGAGCGCGCGAGGAGGCGGGCGCTGGAGAGGGAGGTGGAGGATCTGAGGGTGCGGTGTCGGTTGTTGGAGGATCGGGAGAGCGTGGGCGTCCCGCCGGACGGCGGATGTATCGCGCTTTAGCGGATTTGAGTGTTCTGTTCTTGCGAAGGACGTGTTTTCTGACTCGACATGTCTGTGGCCTCGTTCTCTTAGTGTGCCGTTTGCTCTGCTCCGTTTTCTTGGTTGCTATGCCGCTCAATGTATACCCATCTGGGTTATTGTACAGTAACTGTTGCGTCCTGGCATCTATACGCGGACACCGATAGGAGATAGTACTGTATACGCCACCACCTTGTGTATCACGCGGCTACTGTGCTGACCGGAACACATTCACGCTCTCACCGTCTTAGTCCCGTGGTGTACAGCTATGCATCTGATCGAGTTAGACTTTCGTGGGATCCAACCCACCTGAATCCATGGCTCTTATCATTCCTCGCCGTGTTCTTTATCTTACTTCCACACCATCACTCACTACGAGAGGTGAGAGGAGCTCATACTAGGTAAGGGTCCTCTCAAGAATAGGCGGCGTACGCTCACTTCCTTCAAGCAGGTGACCTTGGCAGCCATGTCTATTCACTCTATCAAGCGCTCGCAATGTCATCTCGCCTGGGACAACAGGTGTGCGATAGTCCACGTAGTACCGCGCCTAGCCCCTATTTACACGAGAGTCTTCGAAACTACACAGCATCCCCCCAGTCATCCGCGTAAAGTCTGGGGAGACAGTCACCTTCGACTGCCTCGACGCGTCCAACGGACAACTCACGCCTGCCTCGACGACCGCGACGATCGCCAGCCTCGTCTTCGCCCAGCTCGACCAGGTGAACGGGCCTGTGTTCGTCGAGGGCGCCACCCCGGGCGACACACTCCAAGTAGAGGTGCTCGACGTGCGCACGGCGGACTGGGGCTGGACGGCGCTCATACCAGGGTTCGGCCTCCTCGCGGACGAGTTCCCCGAGCCGGCGGTGAAGATCTGGACGCTGCACTCCCACGCTGCAGATGACACTGGAGCGAAGGAGAGAGGCGAGTATGGGTATGCGTGGTTCGACGAGGAGAGGGGAATAAGGATTCCGCTGAGGCCGTTTGCGGGGGAGATGGGTGTTGCGCCTGGGAAGCCGGGCGCGCACTCGACGATCCCGCCGTATGCGACTGGTGGGAATGTGGACACACGCCATTTGACGAAGGGATCGACGCTGTACCTCCCAGTGGAGGTCGAAGGGGCACTATTTTCTATTGGAGTGAGTAGCAGTATCCAACATGGCGATGATCTCTTTGACATGAATACTCGTTTTTAGGATGGGCATGCTGCTCAGGGGGACGGCGGTATGCACCGATTGTATTGCGTCTTCTCGTTGTCCGAGACACTGATGCTTGCTTCACGCGGTGCCTAGAGGTTTGCGGTAAGCTTTATGAATACCGGCCTAGGGCTGATCCTGTAATTCGGGACTCACAACGCTTCCCTAGGCACGGCTATCGAGACGCCCATGAATGTCACAGTGCGGTTGACTCTCCTGAAGGACAAGCCGTACGTGAAGACGCCTCATTTCAGCACACAATCGCCCCACGGGCGGGAGGAAGAGTTCTATTGCACTACGGGCGTTGACTCTGGTCAGTGGCGTTGGTCTGCTGTTACAAACCGCTCGCGTTGTTGACCACTGCCGTGCATAGATATCCGGGAGGCTACACGGGCCGCAGTAAGGAATATGATCGCTTCCCTAGGTGCCGAGCATGGACTAGCGCTCGAGGAAGCATACATGCTGTGTAGCGTCGCGGGCGATCTGAGGATGCACGAAGTGGTGAGTGGCCAGTTCTGCACGCACCGGCACTGTTTTTGTGCGTCTTTGACCTTGTATGCTCACGGCTTGTCCTGCTACGCCGGGGATGTCGTGCCGTAGGTGGACATGCCAAACTACGTGGTGAGTGTAGTGAGCTGGTGAGAAAAAACACAACTCACGCGCCACATATAGATAGGGATGATGATGCCCCAGTCCATCTTCACCAAGAAGTAGCAGAACCCGTTAGGAACGAGACAATGTGTAGTTTGCAGCACGACTCAAGATGTTTCAAACAGGACCGTATCTTCATGAGCGGAAAGTTTGGCGCATACTGCGAGTGCGTAGAGACAATCTGAGTAGCAAGTTCGTAGTATGCAAAGGCAGGGAGGGACGGGAACTCGTCCTAAATCTCCCCTTCCGATTGGCGCCCTCAAGTACGAGTATCGGGCACGTGGATCTGAGATCGAGAGCGATTCGAGTTGCATCCCGGCTCGCCTTTCAGCAACGGCTTGCTCACAGTCCGAGCTTTCTTGCCGTCATGGTCGCTAGGTGTGACTTGGTCTATTCTCTCTGTTTCACGAATGCCCCTCCTATGCGTAGTCTGTCTCTATCTTTACGTGCAATACACCTCTCTGGACCTCGAAGGTATGACGAGATAAGATAAGCGAGCGATCCAGGCCGGAGTCTCGAGCATGGGACGGCACTTGTTATCACGCCTAAAGACATCCATCGCGCTGCCCTCCGCATTGTGTCCGCTACATAAGCCCCTCTAGGACGAGGATAGCGACGACACCGACACCAAATCTCTAACCAATCCACTACATACCGAAATGTCCAACGTCTACGAACCCGAGGGCGAAGGCCTCGTATACCTCTCCCATGCTCGCTATGGCAAGGACAAGGTCCGCGTCTTCCGTGTGGTACGCGACGGTGCATGGCACAACGTTGTCGAGTACAACGTGACTGCTCTAGTTGAGGGCGACATCGATGTCAGGTCAGTGCGCTTTCCTAATCGTCGACTAGCCCGTGGAATCCTGATGGCAGTCTGATCCGGTACTTGAACCAGCTATACGAAGGCGGATAACTCGGTTGTCGTGGCCACAGACTCGAGTGAGTTCGTGCAATATTCGTACGTCATGTCCGCATATGTCTGACCACCCACCCACACCTCGATCAGTCAAGAACATCACATACTGTGCGTTACATCCCTCGATTATATATCCCGACAGCATCTGACCTACTTCCCTTCAGACCTCGCCAAGACCTCACCCCACGTTCTCCACCCTGAGCGCTTTGCGCTTCACCTCGGGACTCACCTAGTCTCGAAGTACGCCCACCTGAAGAAGGCCTTCATCACGATCGAGCAGCTCCGATGGCAGCGCATTCCTGTTGCTCAAGGAGAGGGCCAAGACCCCAAACCACACTCGCACGCATTCTACCGGGACGGTGACGACAAGCGTACCGTCGAAGCGGAGGTACGTCCCCCGTTGCCCCGCCTTCCTTCAGCAATACTTAACAACACCTACCGCTACCCGCCAGATCGACGCCTCTGCGGGAAAGGACCAGATCGTCGCTCGCGTGACATCGGGCATACAGGGCCTGCTTGTGCTCAAGACGACCGGATCCGCGTTCGAGTCGTTCGTCAGGGACGAATACACGACGCTCGTTGAAGTCAACGACCGGATCTTTTCGACCTCGATCGACCTCTCGTACAAGTTCGCGCCGCTGCGCATCCCCGCGCCCGCCGACGGGCAGGGCAAGACGTTCGACCTGCCGCTGAGCGCGGAGGAGGCGAAGGGCACAGCGTGGGACGGCGAGAGCGTGGCGACGGCCGCGCGCGCGATCACGCTCGAGGTGTTCGCGGTGGACGAGAGCGCGAGCGTGCAGGCGACGCTGTACAAGATGGCGGGGCGGATCGTCGCGGAGCACCCGCACGTGCAGAGCGTGACGTATAACCTCCCGAACAAGCACTACGTCCCCGTCGACATGAAGTACATCGGGATCGACAACACCTCTCCGTGCGTTCTTCCTCTCGTTCCCTTGTGTACGGTACACTTGGGGCTGACGGACGTGTTTTCTCGTGTAGCCCGAAGGCGGAGGTGTTCATCCCGCTCTCGGCACCTAGGTATGTCGCTGCCCATTGCAGTACCTCTCACATGGTGACTGACGTGCTTGTGCATTACAAGTGGGCTCATCTCTGCCACCGTGTCTCGGAAGTAATTGTCGGACAATGGGTGTGATAGCAGGCGGCTGCAGAGCATGGAATTTACTGTATACGACAAAGCAGGTTTGTATGTACGTTTGGGGGCAGGAAGTATCAACAACAGAACACACCGGCCGGGGGCCTCAGTATCGATCAGTCGTTATAGGTACTCTGGCGAGTGGTGTACGCAGGGCGCATCATCAGTTTCATGTACTGGAGTGACCACGGTGGTTGGGTGTAACCGTCACGTAACTGCTACCGACCACATTCCACTAAAAAGACTGCTCTTATGGATAGAATACTTCCCATTAGCCGACTCGAACGACTGACCTCGTCATTGCACGATCTGTCTCATACTAGTGACGCGCTCTACCAACTGAGCTAAACGGGACATTACTTTACCAGCATGATAATAATTTCTCGCGGGCGCCTGTGGTAGCCATCATGTTCAAGATACAAAGACAAGGGCCGATAGCGACCTAAGCCACTCAAAAGCGGAACATGAATTGTCCAAAGACTTGGAAAGCAAGCGCAGTGGGGTGGGAATAATGATTTTCAACCTTGAGGCCTCGAAGCCGACAAAAAGATAACATCGACTGTGCACAGTTCCCATTAGCCGACTCGAACGACTGACCTCGTCATTGCACTATGCAAGTACTAGTGACGCGCTCTACCAACTGAGCTAAACGGGATACGCTTTTTTTTGTTTCAGTTCATCTTGATCACATCGACGCCCCACAACTCATAAGCGCAGGAATTGAGATCTTGGATGAGCCACACGTTATTCCGGACTACGAGCATCGTTCCAAGGGATCATGGTAGTAGATATATACTCACCCACCCCAACAGATGGCTATACGACAGCCACATCTACTCTCCAGGCCGCCACAGAAAATGTGATAAAATCGCATATCCTACCGCCAAATGGCCCTCAGCCCGAGCTCCAGAAGAGGTTTCACTTCGAGTTTCTCCTCCGCAACTTGCGGCAGGGGTTCCCCGAGCGTTATGTGTCCCAGGATGCGAGCCAGCCCTGGCTCATCTATTGGACACTGCACGGGTTCAGTATCCTAGGAGCTGGCCTAGACGATGTCACGAAGAAGCGGTAGGCACGGCTGCCCCTTTAGCTTCCCTTGGTTCTCATTGGATTGTGTAGATCTATAGAGACACTCCTTGCTCTCCAGCATCCGGACGGAGGCTTTGCGGGCGGCCCCGGCCAAGCCGCTCATCTACTTCCAACGTATGCGGCCGTCTGCGCTTTCGCGATTGTTGGTCGCCCAGGAGAGGGGGGCGGCTGGGAATCTATCGACAGGTGATGCGCGCGGACGCCTGACGTATGCACTGCTAACAGTTACGTTGCGAATCTTAGGAAGAAGATGTATGACTTCTTCATGTCGCTCAAGCAGCCAGACGGCTCGTTCCTAGTCAGTCACCATGGCGAGGTAGACGTCAGGTAAGCGAAACTCTGTGGTACTCTTTCATAAGAAGGATATACTAGGCAGAAGAACATGCTTGCACACGCATTCTTCCTCGTCTAATACCGTTTCTCTTTGCTGACATCTTTGTAGAGGGGTATACTGCCTACTCGTCGTCGCTACGCTACTCAATCTACTCACACCCGAACTTCTCGCCGGTGTGCCCGACTTCCTCGCCACATGCCAGACCTATGAGGGCGGTTTCGGCAACGCATCCTTCCCTGGATGGGCTTTCGAAGCTGGTACGGCCGCGTCAGCGGCTCTTCGGTACTCCATTCTGACACAGCAGCTTCTCCAGATGACCCCGAGTCCCCGTCGAAAGCCTCCTCAACGTACGACCCGCTGGCTCCGCGGCCACCTCTCGGCGAAGCCCACGGCGGATACACGTTCTGCGCGACGGCGTCATGGGTGATCCTACAGTCCTTCATCGAACAGTATTACGCCCCTGCCGGTCAACCGCCGTCGGCGGAGCTACCAGTACGGCCTCGGATCAATACCCAAGCTCTCCTGCGGTGGTGCACCCAGATGCAGGGCCTTCCTATCGAGCTCGCCGGCTTCAAGGGCCGCACAAACAAGCTCGTAGATGGCTGTTACAGCTGGTGGGTTGGCGGTTGTGTAGGGCTGGTCGAAGCGCTGCTAGGCATTGGAGCGCACCACGATGCCCCGACGGAGGAACACTCCGGAGAAGAAGACGGCCAACGGGTCTGGGACGACGTTGATGGTAATCGGCCATCCAACCACCGGCCTCCGCCGAGCTGTCAAGGCTGACTACCGCACCGCAGACTCGCTGTTCAACCGTACCGCCTTACAAGAATACATCCTTCTCGCCGGCCAACACCCCGCCGGTGGATTGCGGGACAAACCGCCCAAGTACGTTACCGATTATGTGATATCCACACCGCCCCGGCCCTGACACGTATTATTACACTTACGTCCACCAGGCCCGCAGACGCATACCACACCCTCTACTGTGCCGCAGGTCTCTCAGCAGCCCAGCACCGCGTCATTCCTTCCGATCCCCGGAGGAACGCGATTTTGTCTGGGTGGAACGTCGAACAGGCTCGCGCCCGCGCCGGTACGTCTCCGTCTCCGCCGTTGACCCCATAGGGGGCTTCCGCACCCGCGCTCCCCGAACGGCGCGCCCACCCCGGAGTCTATCTGACCGCTGACCGCCCGCCTCGTCCAGGCACGAGCTTCCGCGCGACGTCCGACGGCGAGCGTGAGAAGGTCGACGAGCTCCGCAGGCGGACGTGCGCCCACGTCCTGTCGTGGACGGAGGAGGAGGGTACCGCCGTCTACGTCGGCGGCGCCGCTAACCGTGTGGTGAGTGCGCCGTCCCCGCCGCTGAAAAAGGCGCAGCGACATTTGCGGCCTGCGGCGCGTTCTCCGCCGTGTAAATCTGACTATGGCTTTTACGTGCAGAACGCCGTGCACCCGCTCTTTAACCTAACGGTGACACACTCGGACGCGATGATGGCCTACTTCTACGGCCAGACGTTCCCGTCTCGGTACACGCCGCCCGCTAAGAAGTGAAGAGACGGTCGAGCCCCCACGCAGTGCCATAGCGCCCCAGTTTCCGCGGGGAGCCGACTACTCATCAAGCAACGAAGCTAGCGAACGAGGAATGGAATGAAGGAAACCCAGATGGATGTCCGTGACGTCTTGTACTACTATTTGCCCAACAACCTCGCACGATGGCGGGCGACGGCGCAGCCGCCGTTCCCGCCCATGTCCATTTCCGCGCTGGCGCCTACATGGAAGACGCACGACGACCGTGGGTAAGTTACGTGTTACCTCACCCACTCCAGCCTGCGATCCTTCCAAGCCACTCGAATGTCGGGGAACGCAGTCCAAGCAACCGCTATGACCCGACCGTCCCACTCACTGCACCCTCACCGCGCTAAGCGACCTGCAACACCGGTGACCAAGTTCGTTCCCTTCGGCAGCGCATTCGCGCACCTGGGAATAAGAGCGGCAGAAGCACATCTTTTCCCCCTAGCCGTTATCGCCTGCATCCTGCGCCGCACTCCGGGAGCGCACCTGTCTCTGCAGGGCATCGCACATTCCCAGTGGGCGTCCGCCCTGCAGCACAAGACCGAGCGCGGGGTCGCGCCCAACAGATCCCGAGAGCTTCGGGCGCACGTTAAGCCGCGCCGTTGTGCCTCAACGAGCTTCAGACCTCACGCCTCAGGGGCGGCAGACGCAGACGGCCATCGGACCAGTCGAATTGGGCCGATTAGGTTTTGGGTTGTCGCGCGAGCCGCTGGGATGAGCTTCGGTCGGACCGGGTCTCAGGTGTGTGAGCGGACGCGGGTTCAAATCGTGATCGAACGCGTATGTTCTCGCCGTTCGCGACGTCTCGAACACAGTCCTGAAGGTTGTACGGTCGGGCTAGAAGCGAGATCCGTACAATGGAGAGCGGCAAGTGATCGTAGGCTTCTAGGGCTTGCCCTATTGTCGCGTCTCTGCGAAGGAGGGGTATGGTACATCTATGCTCACAGGACCGTATTTCTGTTTGAGGGCGTGGGGAACGGGAGAAGTACCTGGGGAAGAGCCTTGCCAGACGCAGTCATCGCAGGGCGCATGAACCACAGAGGCCCCTCACGCGCGCATTCCTGCTTCCCAAAGCCGGGCGAGCCGCTTGACTTCTCGGCCGGTCAGCTAGGAGAACCCCTGTCGAATGGCAACAGCGTCACGCACCTCGACCCCCGTGATGCGCTATACCGCCGTTCCGTTGTGGCCCATCCCATCCACCATCGATCTAGCCGCCGACCGGCCATCCATCCGTCCAGCCGGCTTCACTGGTGATCAAGATCACAACCGCAACCACAACCACATTCGCAATTATGGCGTCCTCCCTGTTCTTCCCCGCAGGTCCTGCACCTCGCGTTCAAGGTAGGTCAGCCGCCGGCGGTCCTCGCACCTCGACAGTTCTAGTGCGTGCATCTGGCGCTCGAGCGCGCTGAACCGCGCCTTTTCCTCGAGCCTCGCCTTGGTCGCGACAGGCAGCAGCTTCGCGACCTCCGTCCAACGCATCCAGAACGTGGACATCTCCGTGCGCACCTCGAGCGGCACCCGGGCATGCTCGAGCGCGAGATCGAATGCATCTGGCCAGCGCAGGCCACAACTCACTGGGCACCCGAGCGGCAGAAGCTGACTCAGGAAGAGGGTGACCGGTTCGGCTTTGGTTATGGCGGAGAGTCCGACGGAGAGGGTCTCGAGGCGCTGAAAGGGCGTGATGGTCGAGGACCGCAGGAGCCTAGGCAGGTCGAGGAGCTCGCGAGCGTCCATGTGTAGAGCGAGGTAGCGCAGATTCGGACAGTGCCTGGCGAAGGGGATGAGGGCGTACAGGGATAGCTTGGGCCCATTAGGCTCTGGCACTGGCTCAGGGTTCAGCTGGAGGCTCTCTAGCAAGGGCCAGCCGCTAGCGAAGCCTTCCATGTCGTCATCGCTGAGGGAGAGGGCAAAGTCCCAGCGGAACTCGAACGTTCGGATCGAGCGTGCGGAGAATAGAGGGCGAAACGTCGCGAGCGTAGGGCGTTCCTGGGGCAGCGGCGGTGGGGACGTAATGGTAGAGTCGGGCGCGATGATGTAGTCCAGCGACAGGTCTACGAGGGAGGTACATCGGTCCCGGACTGCGCAAAAGAAGTCGTGCAAGGCGGTAGGGGGCGCAATCTCCACCGCTTTGATGTGCAACCGAGTAAGGCGTGCTGGACACTGGGTGGTGTGGAGTAGCCGCGTCGCGTCTGGAAGCCGGGCGCTGAAGGCAAGGCTGCGGAGGGTGACAAAGCCGTCCTCACGGATCGTCGGTGCAAAATCGGCAACGTCTCTGCGATCCCCAGGCTCGGCCTGCGCTGGGTGGCCGAGCGTGATTGACACCACGTGTCTGAGTCGTGACAGCTCGACGAAGACTCGGGGAGTGAGGGAGAAGATGGGCAAGGATACCTGAAGCAGTTGAGGTAGCCCTCGGAGCAGGAGAACGACGTCGTCCTCGAGATGACGCATGGGCTCCTCCAGCCTCAGCTCGAGACTGGTAACACCTGAACATCGCGTGCAGACGTCCGTCAGGAAACCTGTCGAGGCATGGGGTTCGGATCGGTATATGTGCATGCCAAGATGTTTTACGCGCCGATGCATAAAGACGAGGCTGGGCTGCTGTCTATTGGGAGCGCACGCGAACCATGTCAGCGACTGGAGGTTGGGGAAGATGTCCGTGTAGG